AGGAGTTTCACACCTTTCTTAGTCAAGTAAAATGTTCATCCCAGAAGGAAACTTGTATAGTTCTAATAGGTCATAATTCATCAACATTTGACACTCCAATACTTCTCCGGAGAAGCGACGAAAATTTTCGCAGCAAACTAAGCAACCTGAATGTTTATTTTGGCGACAGTCAAATCCTTGTCAAACATCTTTTGAAAGATAAACACCCGGCATTGCAACTCAGTGAATCGGCATCTTGCAAATCAAACCAATCAGCACTTTACTCACATCTCTTTAATGAAGAATTTGAAGCCCACGATGCCTTGGAGGACGTTAAGGCACTTGAAAAAATTCTGTTTCATTCTACACTTCAACTGAACAAGGAAAAACTCGTGAATTGTTCTGGAGTTATTGGTGTTGAACAAGCAATTGCCAGCATGACGTATTTGGATCGACGCCATGAAATTCTTCAGACATTCAGCGGAAGACTTTTCGACCCCAGGGACGACAGTGGTGCAATAAAACAATCAATGGCTCAGAAGATTGCAGGAAGTGGGCTTTCCTATTCACATCTCAAAGAGTTATATTTAAAGTTCGGAACAAAGGGGCTGCTTGCGATCCTCAGCATGCCTCCTTCCCAAAACACAGCGAGGAAACCTCGTGTCACTCGAACAAAGCGTATTCTCGATGCCATTGCAAACCACTTTCAGGAAACATTTCCGAAAGAAGAATAGTTCCTTTGGTTCCATTGTTGGTAAATTGTAACTTCATGTGTTTCCATTTAACCACATTTAAACTGCAGAAACTGGCCAGCACGTGTTGTGCCTCTGGAGGTGCTTGATGACAATGTACGTACCTCGCGTAACATTAGCCAGATTTAAATGACCGAAATTCTCCAAAACGTAGCAACGAAGCAAGGTTGTTAACGGCACTTGAAAAATAATTTACAGGTCCACTTGAACGACTAATTAAGCTGATGAAATCGACCGAAAATCGAGCGAGTGACTCTTCGAAACAAATCAAGGTTTTGACCAGCGGACAACGTATGCGCATGCGAAAAGCGGGATCTTGTAAAGGCCAGATTTTGGAAACGCGCGAGACGCGCGTGGATTTTCTTTAGACGCGAAGTGAATTATTTAAAAAACAAGTCCGGTGACCCCACTATTTTATTTTAAAATTGGGTAGTGTGGACTAAGAGAAAAGTACTGGTAAAATTTAAAAAAATTCTCTGGACCGGATTTATAGCCACTCAAAAATTACGGTTTTTAGCAATTACATAAAATCTGCTCCAGAGATTTTTTTTAAACTCTCTATAATTGCTTCCACTTCCATGTAAAATTGGATAAAATTAAGAAAAATAGGGGTCACCGAGTTAATTTTTGCGCTATTAGCGTTAGAAGCTCCATGATGGCTCTTATTTACAACCATATGCTGTTGCTATGGTAACAGCTGATGACGCCACGTGATTATGTTTTGGTTCACTGATGATTGAGCTAGTAACTGTTACCAAGAAAGTGTAAGAAAAATTATTATTTTGTTTTATTGAATCCCTCAAATGTAAAAGTGCTAGAAAACCTAAAAACTATTGTGAGCCACCTTAAGTAACCGGGACTTTCGAGAAACGGGCCCTGGCGTCACATGTGGGTTGAGTTTGTTGTTGGTTCTTGTCCTTGTTGTGAGGGTTTTTCTCCGGGTCCTCCGGTTTCCTCCCTCCGCAAAAACCAACATTCCAAATTCCAAATCGATCTGGAAAAAGTGGACAAGAAGAGCCACCCAGTGGAATGTCCATTGCTAAATTATTATTTATTTTATCATTTACAGTACGTGCTTGTCGCTTAAATCGTCCATATAGGGTATCTGATTACTTATTCATTATTTCCCTGTTGAAGAAAGTTCGGACGTGTTAGAGATTGCTGTTGCATAACTTCGTTTGTCAAGTGAACTCAGATATTGAGTAATGTTTTACTTCCCTGTCAGCAGAGGTCTCTTTTCGTTTCATTCAGCATACAAGGAAAAGATGGCTCTGTTGGCTGGAGATTTTTGATGTTGACATCCTCGCATCAAAATAAGCCGCCACAGTTAACAACACGCTGGTTGCTATCAATACGAATATAGCTATTCATACTCAATTGCAGGATATGACCTATTCACTTTAATTTGGTTGTACCTCCTTTTACGTGTAATTTAATCACGCACATACTTTGTCTTGTGTTTGACGACAAAGCACTGGTGAACTCTTTTTATGTTTCTGTGAATTCGACCCACCAAAGGAGTAGTTTTGGAGACGAAAAAAGCTATGAAAATTCTCTCACTCGTGTGTGTTTATTCGCAGCTGTTTGAACATCTCTAAATCTCTATTAATAATATTCCAGGAATCTGAGAAAACCAAAAGAGCCTTTGTCTCGTTTTTCAAAGTGGATTGTTTGTAAAAAACACACCACATTGCTTTGTTTTAATTTTGTCTTGACAAAGTCAAGTTCAGACCCTGTTCCATCAAGACTTACTCTATTGATGACTATTTCCTGGTGTTTTAATTTTTCTTTTTTCATAGCTATCTTTTTAAACAAGTTCCATAAACACACATCACGTGTAGAGACTATATTTAGCTACACTGACGGTATTGTTTAATTTCACCGATGTTTGACTTTAATTGTTTCGAATAATGTAATAGTTACAACGAAAGGGTGCATAAAAATCAAACTTATACGTACATTCGAATGACATTAGATTTTGTTAGACATTTAAGAATAAACACTAGCGAGAAAAACACAACGTTTCGATGACTCCATGTCATCATTCTCAAGTGAGAAGAGAATAAAAATGAATAGTTAATTTATACCGTACGAAGGTGGCAAACGTAAAAAGTTTAAAATATTTAAAATATTTAAATAAATAATTGCGCGTGTTGAGTTCATAAATGTAAACTATTTACTTGTAAACTTTTCACGTTTGCCACCTTCGTACGGTATAAATTAACTATTCATTTTTATTCTCTTCTCACTTGAGAATGATGACATGGAGTCATGGAAACGTTGTGTGTTTTTCTCGCTAGTGTTTATTCTTATACGTACATATACATGAAAAAAAAAGAATCTCTTTTGGTTGTTCAAACGGGGAACTCTATCTTAGTCTTCGGAATTCCACTTTTTTTCGCGAGGAAGCAAAACTCATCGCTATAATCAAATCCTTTAATGACTTCGCTTGTTTCTAGCATTCTAAACTCGGCCAGTATCCAGCCATCTTGACCAACGTCGCACACAGAGAGAAAAGATCTGAATAAATTAATGAATGATTGATCGATAAATAGGTAGACAATCAGATATAGATAGATAGATAGATAGATAAATAACGAAATAAAAAGTATATAGACAAATAAATAAATCCGTTTTTAATCATTGCCATATCAAAGTATAAAGTAGTCTTAATTTCTGAAGTAACTTTTTTTAATTCCCAAAAAGGTTTTCCAAAGTCTCAATTATGTCTTTGTCCGCGTATGTTTGATCTTTGCCTTCTCTATTGCGTGGGTTAATGTTAAGACACACTGCAAAGGGATGTTGCTATTTCACAGCTGTCACATTGTCGGTCACAAGCATTTTAATTTTTCTCAATATACATTTCAAAGACGCGCATAGAAATTAGACAACGGAGACGGCTCCGAATTTTAATCTCACCTTGAACTTTAACCAATACCTGACAAGTTGACACGTGAATAATTCATACCCACATTATTAGATTTCGTGCAGTCAGCGAACGCAGGAAGCTGAACTTTCGAGACCTATGTCCGTGCCTTGCCTCAAATTGTACGCGCGCCTTCCTCGGAAGGCTGCTACGAGGAAAACTGAGTTTTCTGAAGCAGAGGCGACCCAATTAGCTAAACGACGAATTCAGTGCAATCCAAGTTGACACCATCCAACTCCGGAGTCGTTCGTTAATGCATTTCTTTCCGGGCTCTTTGTTAATCGTATCTAAGTAACTAGGGGAGATCCATTGTGCGCGAAAGTGCAGGGACGGCTTACATATTTTCTTTTGTGATCTCTGCCGATATCAATGAAACTATTATATTACACTCGAATATATTTACTCTGCGTAGGGGCTTGATGTTGCGAGAGTGGCTCGATTTGTTATCTCGTAGCTTTCACGTTTTTGTGCATTCCAGTTTCACGTCATCTGTCGCTGTTCGCGTTCGACACGTCCAGGTCCCTCAGGCCATCTTTAGGCTTTTTCCTTTTCATCGATAATCAATTAGGTCCATCTGGTGCACGTTAATTCGTTTGCAAGCGTGACGCGTTTGGTTGTTATTATATGCTTCGCTCATGGTTTGACTATATTTGTCAGCGCCATCTGTCAATATTCCCGTGGATTTTCGCGGAGGCTACACCATTGACATGTACGGCTTGCTTTTGGAGAATTTTCGCAGTGTTGTATTGGAAAAATATGGCGAATCAGTTTGGAACAAAATTGTGGAGAAGTCTGGTACACGGCATCATACATTTGCCACTCACAAGGTATATTCTGAGGATATCATGACACGTCTTGTGCAAGCAGCTCTGGAAGTAACGAATGCTAGCAGAGAGGAAGTCACTGAGAAAGTCGGCCTTCATTTTCTCGGATTCATAGGCCAGTATGGTTACGACAGGATTTTGAAAGTCCTCGGCCGGCATATGAGAGATTTCCTGAATGGTCTGGATAATCTTCACGAGTACTTACGGTTCACTTACCCGAAGCTAAAAGCGCCATCGTTTTTCTGTGAAAATGAGACAGAAAGTGGCCTCACATTGCATTATCGATCCTCAAGAAAGGGGTTCCTTTATTACGTGATTGGCCAGATTAAAGCAGTCGGTCAGTTCTTCTACCACATTGAAGTGGACGTCGAAGTGTTGGAGTACAATGAAAACAAAGAAGGCAGTTACGCCTTGTTCCAACTCACATTCGACAACAGTGTTTATATGGAAACACGTCGACGGCCTAAACGCCATTCAGTCATTTCCCTCAACGGCGACACGGGCAGCTTGAAGATACCGATGGAAATTTTCTACGAGGTTTTTCCATTTCACATTGTTTTTGATCGAGACATGACAATTTCTAGCACTGGAAATAGCTTGGAAGCAATATTGCCCTCTCTTCCTGGAAAAACAATTGTCTCACAGTTCACAATCATTCGGCCGTTCGTCCAGTTCACATGGGAAAACGTAAGTTAGCATGATCTGTTTTTTAAGTAGTTTTATTTACTTCTCTTTTCACCCAATCTTTTTTCTTTCAGTGACCTTCATATGGTTTTCATCATTTGTGGAATTCATTCCCTTAAAAAATGCCACATTAATTATTTCGAAATAAGTTTTTAAGGGCAAACGTAATTTTTTATTCATTTGGGGATTAGTTTTCTTGTCAACTGAGTCCCGTCGCAAATGAAAAATGTCTGTCAATTTGCTATAGTCAACAAATTGAAGCTTGACTGGTAACATGGTAACTTTCCCCTTAGCCATAATTTGGAGAACATAATATACTATCTTACTTGGAGACCGAATGAATTTTTTAAAAGGGTTATAGAATTTATCAAAATATTTTCTCTTTAAAAAATAGAGCAAACTTAAAATAGCTTAAAAGGGATTCAGAGCTTCAGACTCAAGTTTATTCAGCTTGCTACCTGAGATGGAATGTACTAGCCTGTAGTACTTAAACCCCTTGTTTTAAAAATTTTTCTCAATGTTACAGAATTTTTTTTTACAACTGATATAATCAACAGCCCTCTTAATATCTCCAACTTTTGTTTCATAATAAAACAATTTTGTGCCATCATTTTTGTCTGGTTTTTCTGAAAGAGATTGAAAGGACATATAGAGAGTGAACATAATTCATTTCTGTTTTAGATTTATACAAGGAGAATTATTACAAATGCTTATGGCACTGCTAAGAAATATGTGCCTTTTTTCTGAGCCAAACAGAAGATATTTGTGTCAAGTTTAACGTGCAATCATTTGTTGCATCTTGCTTGGATAAGGAGTTAAATCTTTCTCATGAAGAACATTGTACTCTCTCCTCTTGTAACAAATTTAATTAACATGCTCCATCTTAAAGAAGTTCTGCTTGAAATATTTTTGGCTTTTTTTATTAATTTAGTGTGGCTTTTGTGTAATACTTAAGCTTTCTCAGTCATGCATCAACACCATAGAAGTGTGTATGACAATATGGCTGCTGATTAAAAAAAAACTCAGGGAAATGGCTTAAATTCATTATGATTTTGGTTTTCAATGGCAGGATATAAGGGTGAGTTTTAATTGGTAAAATGCTGGTTTTTACAGTCATGTGAAGTAAATGTTAAAAATGTACAGGTTCAGTCAGCGAAATTTGCGTGCCAATTACCGTGCAAACTGATCCACAATAATAAATAATTCAGACTTCTTTGCTTGTCAAGTTTCTGTACAGAAATATTTTTTGAAGTCAAGATAAAATTTTAATAAAGTTATTTGTTCTTTCATGTTTATTTTCACTTTCATAGTTCATTATGTCCCCTTTGTTTCAATATCTAAAACTAGATTGGGAAAAGACTTAAAATTAAAACAGAATTGATTATCATACATTTTTGTGAGGTAATTTTGGTTTAGATTCTTATTTTTGAACAAGAATTGCATTTCCAATGTAAAAAAATATATCTCTGTGGCGGATCATTATGTTGTCTCCTTTTGCTTTCTACTTAATGATTACATACTTCCTGTGTATTCATCAAGAAAAGTGAACTTCCATTGATAAGTGCTATCCCACAATTATGAAGATCTGATGGCTAAGTGATAGTGGTGTGGAAAATTTTTTCCCAGTGGAAAACAAACATCATTTAGACTTTGAATTTGAATTTGGAGTTGGAGTCTTTATCATTCAAGTGTCAGCTTCTGAATTTTCATCTACTAATCTTCACAATAGTGAGCAAATGATAAAACAGAAAGTTTTGAAGTGTTTCTGGTTGCCTTATACATATTAATGTTGAAGTGAAAATTATACATGTAAATTTGGGAATTCAATTTGATTTAGTACCAGGGATAAAGCTACAATTTTTAAAAGACAGAAATTTGAAGCAAAGCTGAGTGACAGTGTTTTTATTGTAGCTGTGAAGATCATTTTAATATTGGTATATTCTCCTTGGGTTGTAGACTTTTTCAACACAGACCTGTATTTTAAATCAAGATTTTATGGCTGGAATTTTTACTCTGTCAACTAATATTCTCTTCTGACAAACTTTCCAAAATTCTGTCTATCTAAGGTAGGATTATTGCTTCCTTGTCAAAATTGGTAAATTAGTTCTGATGCTATCCCATAATCCTGTAATCTTGCACTATACATGTTTTCCAACTTGTGGTTTCATGAAGACCATATGAAGATCTAATGGTTACCCTTTAATTGTTACAATGTAAAAAATCTTTTACATTTGTGTATCAAAAAATAATGCAATTATTTCCTTAATTCAGTAACAGTTGATTGACAAGAAGTGAGCTTTACCATCTTTATTTTACAGGTCACATTACATACAAATGTGGTGTTTGAATTGCAGTCCATTGAGCCTGTGTTACAGAACAATACTGCTCTGTTGGGGAATGGTACAAATGGAGAAATAGTAAATGGAACAGATAAAGATCTCCCCAATGAATTATGCTGCATCCATCTTAAGGGACAGATGTTGTATATGGAAGACTGGCAATCTATGGTATACCTTGCTACTCCAATGTAAGTGCGTCTAGAATCTGCAAGTTTGATCTATTTATTTTTTATTGTGTTTCTTTGGTAGGTGATCATTTTAATATATGGTGTAGGTCATGGGTATCTATGCCTGTAGTTAAAAATCATTTTCCTAATTTAATTAAAGTTGGGAATTTCCATGGGAAGAAACCCCTATGTATAGTAGAGATAGAAGACCTCCTTTTACACTCAATATATGTACATGAATGTGAATTACATATGGTAATAAATAAATATTAAGCGAATGGAAACATGCATCTACCAGTGATAGATAAATTGTACCTGGATCAAGATAGGTAAATTTAAGGCAAAGATAAAGTTGAAATGGATATTGTTGTCTGTATCAGACTAAATGTATATTAAAGGTGTATGTTGCTAAAAGTTTATGAAAGGGCAAAGGTTTAAATGCACTTTTGCATGTTAATATGAGAACCTACAATTTGAGGGAACCACATGTATTAACACAAGATTTTCATGACTTATTTTCATGAGAGCACGATGGACTTACTCACAATATGGCAGCTTAGCCAGGTACCCAGAAATAGTCACTTTTTGGATTCTAGACTGCTGTTTACCCTTTTCTCTCAAATCAAACTCTTTAGATTTTAGAATGATGTGAAATAAATTGATGACAAACGAACTCCAGGCTATAAATGCCACAACCAATGAAATACTAATTTGTTGCTTTGCTATTAATTTGTTCACTGTTGTTTTCATTTATAATTGTCATTAAGTTTGGGCTCATAAGTAATTAAAGTGCTACTGAAACGAAATTTTCGTATCTGAAATATTTACTCTAACCTGTAGTTTTGAATATGCTGATCATCATGAGATAATTTGCTTTGGCTAAAAAGAAGCGAGAGATATCTTTTTTAACCGTTCAAATCAAAAATTTTACACAAAACCATGTCCGGGCCCTAGTACCGAGCGAAATGGATTGATGACGTCACTGGTTGTGTTCACTCCGATAACGTGGTTTATTTCACTCACTGTTTGTTTGTATTCGTGGGCGAAGGAGATGGCAGATATTGAAGTTTTGTCAAGTGAATCTTCTTCTGAACGAAGCAAAGTTGTCTCCAGTAGCGAAGAGGAAGATGGTGACGTAAAATGGGGTTGACAGGCCTACACGACTCCCAAGCGTGTGTTTAGAGTAGCCTATTCAAAGTTTAGCCCTCACGAGTATGTCTTTGAGCGACCGCCCTCTTTTGTAAGATACGAGCGGCGGATTTTTGTATAGTTCGCTCAGTAGTGGTTGTGTTTCTATTAAATGCCAGTTTTTCATGAGAATTTGCTTTATGTGTGGCACTGAGTACGCACATCAGGGATTGCGTCTTTTTCGAATCGTTCGCCTTTGTAGATGTACAGCTATTTTTTTGACTGTCTCGATCGTTAAGTTGTCTTGATTGCTTTCAGCTTGCGCCACGCGCGCTGATTCGATCGTACTACAGTTCTTAGTGTTCAGTGTTCCAGCCGTTTTGGCTCGTTTTCTTTTCTTTATTTCGGTATTAAAACGACCGATTTCACGTTCATAGAAGCACATGATCGCCTTTACTGTTTCTTGCTCCGCGTTGTTAAGGATTTGCTTTATCTCATTTTTGAAATCCTCGTCTGCTCTTATTTTGGCCCTCGCCCTATATTGTAGGGATTCTGGGCATGTTCTGCTAGGCATTTGGTACAGAGGGATTTGTTCGTTATCCTCAGACTTGCCGAGTAGATCATCTTCAGTGGCGGTGTCGTATGAGGCTTCCATGTTTTCTTCATTCTCTGAATGGCATTGCTTTGGCCCGGGGCCTTTAGTAGCCCATCTACCGTTATAATGTCTTTCGACATTTTCTGTAGATGGTCAAGCAAGACCGCGGTTTCGATCCTAATCTTGTGGATCTCGTCAGTTTCCGATTAACTAAATAGACTGGTAGAGATTCGTTCTCGGTATCAGTCGGGAATTTTGCTCCCTATCCAGGCGAACCTCTCGCAGATAGCCAAGATGCCGATGTGGCCGCCGATGAATAAGACGAGGATGGCATTTTGCCCGAAATCCTGTTTTTCGGCCTCCCAACATGCAAGCCACACACCATGCTTTTACCCTTCTTTCACAGAAGTACACAACCAGTGACGTCACAGGGCTGTTTTGGCCGCGCCAAGATGGCCGCCAATTTTGATCTCAGCCGGTCAACTTCGAATGGTTAAAAATGTACTTTCCGCTATGCTTTGGCCCAAAAAAAGTACACAGCGTTTGCAAATAACGTTCAACCTCTATAATATTGCAAAAATCTCGGATATGAAAATTACGTTTCAGTAGCACTTTAAACCCCTTTAGGCAGCTGGAGTGTATTGGCTGATAATGTGCTCTGCTGAGAGAAAAATGAATATTTGGTTGAGAAGCAAGCTTTGAGGCAAAGTGTGAAAGCCAAGGATATAATCAGACAACATACCAGGAAGTTTATATATTTTATAACCCTCCCTTGAATTTTTATATTGCAAAAAAATGGCTCCTAAAAAAGCATTAGTCTTGATTTAATGGAAAATCACTAGAAAGAGAGTGCATTTCTTTCATGTGAAATAAGAGAGATAAAAATAAGAAAGTCTCCATTTCATTTGGTATGTTTTTTTTTTTTCATGGAGATGATGTAGTGAAAAGGAAAATGCTGACGAAGGTTGGGATTAATGCATGATTGCTGTCTGGTGATTTTGCACATAAAGTAAATTGGTAATATTACACATTGTTTGACTTTTTAAATCAGAAATAGTGAAGTTTTAGAATCTTAAAAGACAGTCTCAGTTGTGTTCTAATTTCAGCATTGAAAAGTTGGATGTGATGTGTTCCCTTGGATTGTATATCAATGACCTGAGTATGCATGACTCGAGCAGGGACCTTGTGCTTGCTGGAACACAACAGTCAGCAGAACTCAGGCTGGCTCTTGATCAGGTTTGTTAGGCAACATTAAGCCATTGACCCCAATGATTAAAAGTGATGGCATCTAATTTCTCTCTCCAATTTCACTCCTGAATCAAACATTAAGGTCTTAAGAATAAAGTATATGATCACCTACCAAAAAAACTCTTGATTATATTCTCCTTGTCAGCAACTTAAGAAATGTGTAGAGAACAGTATGGGGAATTTGTATTTTGATGTTTAGCTGTAAAGCATTAAGCCCTCTAAAGGTAACAAATTGTTTTCATGCAAATGAGAATACTACTGTTGCAATATGCCATTGCATATTGCAATTAGTCCATAATTGTTTTATGGTTATTCCCAGTACACACCACTCTTTTATTCATATGCAATTAGCTATAGATTGCGTTAAAAATTATTATTCATAGCGAGTGTGAATGTCTTGTATTTAAGCATCCAGAAAGCGGTTAGGACGCAGAAAATAAAATTTAATTCTCATATCTAGGAAAGGTTGTCTTGTGCAGATATATTTCTTCATGCCGGAGACAAAAAAAACCCAATGAGGAAACATTAGCTATAGATTGCGTTAAAAATTATTATTCATAGCGAGTGTGAATGTCTTGTATTAAAGCATCCAGAAAGCGGTTAGGACGCAGAAAATAAAATTTAATTCTCATTTCTAGGAAAGGTTGTCTTGTGCGGATATATTTCTTCATGCCGGAGACAAAAAAAACCCAATGAGGAAACACTACTGGAAGATTTCATCTATTTTTAGTTTTCTCCAACTTATAAATGAAACCCTGTTGCATCTGAGCCATGAATTTTGTGATTTTAAAATCCTTTTTCTCTTTAATTTCTCTTTATGTAAGTTCAATTTAAATTGCAAAATTTCATAAATGTAGCATAATGTTATGCAGCTGTAGTAATGCTTTGATGGAACAAGGCAATATTTATCTGTGTTAAATATGAAGTCATGAAATTCTTTAACCAATGTGGGGAATAATTTTCATTATTGTATAATTTGAGAGTGATAAGTGAACAACATCTCAAAATGTTGTTCAAAATGTGAGCAATGTACACATAATTGGGCGTAGTGTTGAAACAAACAGAAAGAAAACAACATTCAACTGTTCAATATATATATATATAGCAGATAGATCAGATTGTTGGTAATATTTTAGCAACAAATGAATGGTAGATATGACTGCCAACTTCATTAGCAGTACCTACTTAGCTGGTTATACTGATTACTGAAAATGTCTGAAATGGTGGCATAGCTGCAGTAATTTGAATACTTGGGCAGCTGTTAATTTGACCCTTAACAGGTGAATTAGTCTTCAAAGTCACTTTGTTACAGGATGCCTTCAATAGTCCCTTTTACAGTTGTGGGATTGGTGACCAAGCCTTTGAACAGGGGTGAGGCTAAGGGTGACCCTGTTGTGATAGAGACCTGTATCTAGTTAGCATGATAACAAAGTAATTTGCATTTGAAAAGCAGCAACATCTCCATCATAACAAGGTCACCCTAAGCCTCACTCCTGTTCAAAGGCTTGGCCACCAAGCCGACAACTGTAAAAAGGACTTTTGAAGGCATCCCGTGACAAAGTGACTTTGAAGACTGATTTCAACAAATCTCAAATCAACAAACATTTCAACAAATCTCAAATCAACAGATTATGTAGCTATATTGGCATTAATATTGTACACAGTAAAATCATAAATCAATAACTTAAGTACATTATCAAGACAATCTAAGCTCAAGTTGGTGTGCTCGATGTTGTTGAGTGGTATTTGTCACTTAAAAAGGCATGCAGCTTGTAAAATGTGCAAGGAATACTGAAGGAATCTGATCACAATAGTTCTTGAGTGTTTTACTATCTCTGTAATCTTCATGTGCAATTTCCTGCAAAAGGTAAAATATCCTTGAAAAGTTGATATTATGATAAATATTTATCCCAATGTGCTTTTGAGGAGTTCATGACTTCATGTGATTTTTCTTTTTTTCAATCCCTCCCTGTCTTTTTATAACATAAATCAAGTAAAGCATGCACTCAGACCAGTCAGTCAGATTGGTCAGTCAGTGTCTACTATTTGCCCTGGGGTGTATATGCTGCTAACATGAGCAAATATATCCAAATAAGCAAATGTTTCACAATTAAGAAATTGTTTTTTGTGTCATAAAACAAATGGTAAACACCACAGTGTACACTACTGAGTTATGGGTGCACTTGGTTGGTTTGCTAAGCACTCAAGCTAGAGTTGCTCTCAGCTATCACCTTGAGTGACTCTCGCACGTCTTTTGGGCTTAGCAACCTCCCATGTGTATCCATAACTCAATAATGTATGCCATTTGTTAATTACATATGGAGTGTCACCCCTCCTGAAGGGAAATAAACGGTTAATGTTTAAAAACTCAACTGTGTTAACCATGAGAAAAATTTTTATTTATTATTGATTATTTTATTGTACAGGAATTGATCAAAAGTGCCAAGCTCGAGGAGAGCATGAAGGAACTGGACATTGAGAAGAGGCGCACTGACTCACTGCTCTATCAAATGATCCCCAGAACAGTTGCAGATCGCCTCAGGCAGGGTGAACCAGCTCTGAATACTTGTGAGGTATGCAAAGTCTCAACAACTTCCGAGTAACCTTTATATAGTCATTGGACATTACATCATTCCAAGGTCTGATAAATCAGCTAAATTGTGTGCCTTGAGTGTTTATTTCTGCCCTGTGACCATCACCCATTGGCCATATTTTATGAAACTGCTAGTTAACATCTGCATTAGTTGACTTCTACATTTGCCTCCTTATGTGCAATATCTGAGCGTAATCAAATAATTATGTAATAAATCCATTAATTTATTCCTTTGTCTGGGTTTCTTTTTAGATGTTCCATGGTGTGTCTGTTCTGTTCAGTGATGTGGTTGGATTTACACACATCTGTTCATTAATCAGCCCTATGGAAGTAGTGACCATGTTGAACAATATGTACACTGTGTTTGACCAGATCAGCGAGCAGCATAATGTCTACAAAGTGAGTGATAATCTATGGCTGACAGCAAACTTGATTCTGCATTAGCTTGTGAATGCAAAATAACTTTTCACTGGAATTCAATGAATCTATTTCAAAACAATAGGGGAAATACTCATTGAAAGCAGTTCAATATCACTTGTTATCTCCGTCCTACCATTTTCACACAATGTTATTCACTTTTGCCCGCCTCCTTTGTATAGCATTGTCTAATTTTTCCCCACAGAGTCAGTAGGGGTTAATTTTGCCTACCACATAGAGAAATCAGAGTCATTCAAATGGCCTTATGAGAGCTGCTTTTGAAGTTTCCCCTCTGATCCTTGTCAATAATTCCTTTTTTGGAGCTTAGCCCTGTATGCCCTAATATCAGCATTCATATTCTCCATGCTCTTCTCAATACATTTCCTTTGATTTTGATTAGGAGAATTTGTTTAACAATCAAAATACTTTTAAGTCCTCGAAATTTCTTTACTTTTTCCTTAGAATTGTCCATATATTTAAGTAGTTCCTTTTTAGTTCCTGGCAGGTCCACACCAGCCTTTGGGTTGCCACAAACCGACCTGCCTTAACAAAAATTATATGTATGTATGTATGTATGTATGTATGTATGTATGTATGTATGTATGTATGTTGT